CAGATAATTGAAAGCCATACATTTGTTTGTGAAGGAGACAATGTAATAGCAAAGAATCTAGAGAGGACTGTGTTTTTGTATTTTATTTATCGCTTTGTTTCTAAATGCTGCTTTGTTACTGGCCAGATCAGGTAAGAAAGGATAGATGCAATTTTGCCAAAGTTTGCTTGTCTCAGTGTATTTTTGTGTAAGACTTGTAATGTGTGTTTTCAGTCACCAGGATCAGTTACCCCATGTGTTTGTTTCTTCCACCAACTCTTGAAGAACTTAAGACTTTTGCTAAAAGGAACATGTTGACATGAATAAAGGCTGGTTTCTTACTGTGCCCTTGAAATATTAAAAGTCTTAAGACAATAAAGATACCTTATGCATGTGCTAGTGAGAAATATTAAATTACTAATCTGTGTGAATGGGTACTAGGGAAATTCAGACAGGCCATGAATTATGAATCTAATCCCTTATATCTGCAAAAATTAGAGTGTCGGGTTTTTTTTACCTTCATAGTGCAAGATACATTGCTTGGAATAAGTATTTCCTTGACTGTCACTTAGCTTTATGCTAATGTTGGGAGCGTACAAGAAGAGTGACTGTGAGCTACAGAAGGTAGCTTAGTGCCTTACCTTCGAAAATTTTGGTGTGCTCAGTTACATCAAGTGATGTTCAATACTGGGAATTTAAGTGGTACATAAAATGGAAATATGCTGATAGTGCGTAGACATTGTGGTCCTAGTTTGGCTGTATTTATCCAGCACCTATACTGAAGTGATCATCCTGAGACTCTAGTGTCTCATTTCACTTGCAGACCGATGAAGCATAGGTCCCAAATGCTGATTATCATGTATGTCTGACAGAAGGAGTAATGCTGGTGCTGGACTTTTGCATGGGGCAGCCAGCGGGAGAAACTGGACTAGGTGAACTTGGAGAGGTGATTGCTCTCATGCCACATGCACCATTCAACAGTGAAACAGTGGGAACACAAACAAGCCATTGTAGTTAGCATTTGCTCTGAATTCCTGAAGCTACTACTCTTATGAGATTTTTTTTTTGTATGATCTTGTCCAGTGGCTTGTAGGTTCAGAAATGAATGCTGCTCTTCTGTATACAAATGTATAAATTTAAGAAAACCTATCTGGTAACGAAGGGTATTTGAGAAATGTATAATCTAGCCACTCTTTTTATCTGTATTGTAGAAGTCTATATTCTAACTCCCATGTTTGTTTTATTCAGTGATACGGATTCAGATAGTTCATCAACTACATCTTCCTCTTCATGTTCTCCTTCAACAGTATCTGATGAAGATGATCATCCAAATGAGAAGGATAACAGGTCTTACTGTGTTAAAACAAAAGATGAGTTGCCTATTGATGTGAGTACAATGTGGTATCTTTTAAACCTTTTTCTATTAACGAAACTTAAAATATTTTAACTTAATGTATTTTTAAGTCATTGCAATACTTAGTGATTGAATGTACGTTTTTACACTAGTTCAGGTATAGCAGAGTTAGGAACTCCAAATGTCTTATTTTTTCAGTGTATTAAGACCACTCTGAAGTGAGGTTCGCAGCTCATTTTAGGTTCATATTTGTATGAAATCACGGTTGTAATTAATGAAAACAAATAAGTTTCTGGATATTTTAGTACATCTTTTGTTATTTGTATATTGCAGGCTTTCATCATCCTTTCTCTGTGTGAGAGACTTGAAGGTCTGATATGTCTTACGGACATGTTTCAAATATGTTTAGTCTTGAGGTAAAAATTTTGAATGTTGTATTAAGCCTCCCAGAGGTTCAGATTGCATTGCCTCTACTCACTTAGGCAAAATTATTAGAGTGGTCATAGAAGTGGTTTGTATTTGTTTTATACCACAATTTTTGGTATAGCACTGGTTTATGTATTGCAGATCAGTACCTTTAATTTGCATCAAGATACTGTCTTTTTGGTTCTCATAAATACTCATTAAGTATTGCTGCCATTGTTACTCATTATCTCGAAATTAAGTGGTTTAAAGGAGTGAGTTTTAGTAGTAATCAGCTAACGGATGATTAGCTGTGCATCATTTGTAATGGATTACATAGAAAAGGATAATATAATGTAAATTGACATTATAGTTAGCAGTTTGTTTATCTGTTATTTTGTAGATCTCTCCCCTTCATAAAAAATGCTTTCCGGAATGAGAAACAAGTCCGGTGAAGGGTACAAGAAATTATTAGAAAGGTAGAGAAAAAAACCTCTGAAGAGCAGATACGTTTGGATACATTTACTTTTGCTTCAGTACTCTCCAACAGTTTGTAATGAAGTGCTAGATGGCTGGAAAGGCCGAGGCATTGACATGCATTAGTAGTAGCAACAACAGGAGATAGGAGTGTGTTAATTCTTAGACTGTTGCTCTAGAGTTACTTGGAGTAAAGAAAAGCTGTTAGGATATTCCTCTATTCCTGAAATTAATCAAAGATTGAGAAACACACATAACGTTGTATTCTGAAGGAGTAAAACTTCAGAGCATTTCCTGCTTACATGTACTTAGTTTTGAAGTATGATTAATAGTAGAACTGTTATAAGTGCTTTTTTAACAACATTTTTTTTACAGCATTGAACTTTTGGATGAAAGTCCTTGCTCAAATAGATGTACTTATCAGGTTTTATTTACTTTTTATCTCAATTATTTAAATAAAATTCATGTTGGTCTGAATGCTTTGTTGATCTGCTCTTTTGTCTCATTAGTTTACTAGCTTCAAGTACAAGTGTTTACAAAACATTGTCTGTCTTTTAAGTACTGGTCTGATTAGTTTCATTGGTTCAGTAAAGCTATAGCTTTTTGCAAGTGATAATTAATAAGGACAGAAGTTCTAGCAACTACGTTATTTGCTGCACCTAGTACTAAGCCATTCTACAGTAATAGAATTAGTCTACTTGAAAATGTTGTAGATTGTCTTATGTAAATTTGAGGGAATACAATTCGAAAATTAAAATGTAGATATTAAAAAATGAAACGTGATGATTAGTCTCGTACCCAAAAGTCCCCAATAACAGCTAACTTGCTAAAGCATGGGTCAAAGGTAAAAGAAAATATTAAAGAAAGTATGTGGCTGGAATATGTGCTTAGGGGGGAAAAAACCTGCACTTATGAAGGAGTGTTAGTGGAATGGTTTTAGAAACCTCCTGCTTTGAAGTGTAGGATTGGCAGATACTGTATATAGTATGACAGATGGTACAGTTTACCAATTTGAGTTTTATGATAAAAATTTTAGCTTTCTTCCTCCTGGTCTTTGGCCTTTTACTTGCTCTGGCATCCATGACTCGGTTAAGTCTTAGCAGTGAAGTTGGTTAAATCTTGGAAAATTTACTGTCCTGTAGAAGGGTGTGGTGTTTCTGTCTGAATTCACATCTTGGCTTTAACGCTGTATTATATGATCTGGGAAAGTCTTGGCCTCTGTTTGGTCTTTCAGTTGCTCTAGAAGCCTTTTCTAAGCACTTTTGTTAACAGTGAAGATTATCAAGTGAAGTTTTGATAAGACAAGTTTCTTCTATTGGAGGGGGATTTTATTTCTGGTGATGGCCATTAAAAGTGCAGTTCAGTGCTAAGATTTGGACTCTACCTCCAAATTCAGAAGATGTTGAATTTGAAGATAATTCTTACTCTAGTTGCCCTTACCTTGTATGCAGTATAGTCCATACTGAATTCACAGCAGTATAGTATATACACATAGAAATCTTAGTTTATGCGTAACTTAGAGGTGGATGATGAGTTTGGTGTTAATCAGCCTTTGATAGCAAATTTTAATGATTATATTTGAGGAAAAAAGTTTATAATTTGAATATTGTTTGTGCAATACTCATTTGTGTATCTGAAGTTCAGTGCATTTTTCCAAAATGTTCTTGATGATTATCCTTTTGTACCAAATACAACTTTTAGCTAAAAATAGTTTTCTTTGTAGGTTGTTGTGATCTCCACATCTTCTGTAGTGGTCTGAGTCATGGCATAAATGGACAGACACCATTTTGTTGAATCAGATGATACATAACTGGTGTATTTCATACTATTTTATCAATTGTTACGTACATTTTTGTTCTGTCATGCATTGAATGTGGTTACAGGTTGTCTGATTTTTTGATTATTATCTTAATTATTGTGTTGCACATAGAACTTAATTTCTCTAACTTGAAAGTTCAAAAAGATGAACAAAATGTCTGTCAGTTGTTGGTTTTCTCCAGTTGAATAAAATTGGCTTCTACTTTAGTTGCAATGGAAATATGTAGTGTCTCAATAGAAAAGCTGTCTTCAAAAGTGACATTCCTCCAAGATGAGTTCATTTAGAATTATCCTGAAAGAGACATATCAAACTAGATTTATTTTTAATTAAATCTTCAAAATGTTAGAAGGTTTTTCTGATTGTCAAATTTAAGCAGCAATAAAGTGATGAATGTATTTGTGTGACGAGATTGTATTCTGAACATGGACTTGATATTTTCAGGAACTGCCTCCTGTTGAAGAATTATCAATAATTTTGCCTGATGATGTTGAACTGAAGCTCTTTGGGACAGTTTCCAGCATCATTGAGCAGTTAGGTAGGCAAGATTGTTTGCTTTGTTTTTAATTAAAATAACTTTTGTATACTTCCGCATTAATTGCGTACTTAACTGTTCCCTCAATGCGTCAGTACTGCAGCATTCTATTTCAGGGGTAGTGGGTTGCTGATTGAACTCGGACTACTAAATGACATCTGTGTTGAATTCCCTTTTAGTTGGCTTACATCTTCAGAAGATGTAGCATACTATGACTATTCTCCATGTGTTTCTGTGTGACTTTCATGTTCTAATTTTTTTATAAAAAAACGTTTCTTCACCGTGTGTTATGATCTTTATATTACTGCTGGCAACAATAAGATTGAACATTTACAGTATTTTAAGAAATCTTCTGGTTGTACATGCTATATTTGAATTGTCTGTAAAGGTACAGGAGGCATGTAACTGACAGCACAGATGCAGTACAATGCAGTCCAAGTGCTTGCTTGTTAATATAAGAGTACAGGAAAAAGACTTATTTCTTTAGGCAGTGGAGCAGTGCTTGGGTAATTGGTATATTATTATGTTAGTTTTTGAATTCTTTGAACTTCAATTCATTGCATACCTTGACCAAATAAATGCTGCTCCTGTCAGCAGTCATTGGACAGCATGACTAACATGATATAAGGTGCTGGAGGGTAAGCTTAATGGGATTGAGACATACAATGGATGTAAGCTTAACTGCAGGCAATGTGCATTTAGGGACCTCTTCAGATCTGCCTGGGACCTCAGTTTTTGATAGGTGAAATCAAAGTTTTGCTGAAACTGGTATTAATAAAATATATCCATAGTATGTTTGTATTTAAGCTTATTTCAAGTGTTCCATTCTGCTTGAACTACTTTTAAACCGATTTTCTTAAGAAAATTAGAAATTCAGTTCAATTTTGAAATTAAAGTATTTAAGTTTAGTGGGGTACAAAAGAATTAAAGCAAGTAGCCTTTACTGTTAAGTGTATATTTATTTATTAAGTGTAATTTTATTGTAAAAGACTATAGGTAATCCAGGAAATTCTTTCACAGTATTTCTGTCGTTTTTGTTGGTTTGGAGTTAGGTTTGATTTCATTCATGTGCAGGAGGCTGGTTAGAGAGTGTGGAAGGTAGTAATCTGGTCATTGTCATCTTGTTCTACTTTGATCGATAAGCAAGAAAGGGCACAGAAACCTTTTAAGGTCATCTAGTCCAACCCCACTGCAATGAGCAGGAACATCTTCAACTAGATCAGGTTGCTCAGAGCCCCGTCCAACCTGACCTTGAATGTTTCCAGGGATGGGGCATCCACCACCTCTCTGGGCAACCTGTGCCAGTGTTTTACCACCCTCATTGTGAAAAATGTCTTCCTTCTATCTAGTCTAAATCTACCCTCTTCCAGCTTAAAGCCATTACCTCTTGCTCTGTTGCAACAGGCCCTGCTAAAAAGTCTGTCCCGTCTTTCTTATAAGCCACCTTTAAGTACTGGCAGGCTGCAGTAAGATCTCCCTGCAGTCTTCTCTTCTCCAGGCTGAACAACCACAACTCACTCAACCTGTCCTCACAGGAGAGCTGTTCCAGCCCTGTGACCATTTTTGTGGCCCTGCTCTGGACCCGCTCCAACAGGTCCATGTCTTTCCTGTGCTGAGGGCTCCAGAGCTGGATGCAGTACTGCAGGTGGGGTCTCAGCAGAGTGAAGTAGAGGGGCAGAATCACTGCCCTTGACCTGCTGGCCGTGCTTCTTTGTATGCAAACCAGGTGGTGGTTTGCATTCTGGGCTGTGAGTGCCCATGTCCGGCTTTTCATCCACTAGTACCCCCAAGTCCTTCTCGGCAGGGCTGCTCTCAATCCCTTCATCCCACAGCCTGTGCTGATACCGGGGGGTTGCCCCAACGCAGGTGCCAAGACCCTGCACTTGGCCTTGTTGAACCTCTTGAGCTTCACTCAGGCCCATTCCTCGAGCCTGTCCAGGTCCCTGTTGATGGCATCCCATCCCTCAGGCGTATCAACCACACCACACAGCTTGGTGTTGTCTGCAAACTTGCTGAGGGTGCACTCGATCAATAATAATAATAATCATTATTGATAATCATGGGGACTTCAGGAAGGCTGTTTTTAGCCAAAATGGCAGTAAGTTAAAAGAGAAATGGTTGAATCATAGTTTGCAATTGTTCTTATTTTTGATATAGTACATGAATGTAAAAAAAGCTTTATTTAAAAAGACTTCAGTGTTGAAAACCATCCTTAATTTCTAATCCTCCTTCATAAAGGTTCATATAACTTTTTCAAATCCTGTCAGTTTGCTGGTAGGTGAATTCTCAAGTCTGTATTCTACTCTGTGTAACTGGAATGTATGAATTGTTGAATTTAGATTGGTTGGTGAAAGTTAGAAGACGGACTAATAATCATACATGAAATAAAGCTGTAAGAATAGACTAAACCCCAACATACCTGTTATTTTTCTGCTTTTACTGTCTTGCTTTATAACCTCTTCTTTCTACATGTTTTCTTTTCTGTTCTTCTGGCAACAGGTGTCTGGCCTCAATTTCAATGGAGCTGTGGCCATATTAGGGATTCTGCTAGCTAATTGTGGGTGTTTTTTTGATTTTTGAGCTAAATTGATATCTGTGATTACAAGGTTTATATGTGGTATGAGGGGAGTTGAGGTCTTATTTGGAAATCACAAATATTATTTTGGCACAACTATCAGTATCCTAAGCACTTTCTGTCCCCTTGATGTATCGGAAGTCACTGCTGTTCTCTGTAGCAAGCTTCCAGGTTCATCAGTCTGCAGTGCATGATACCTGTAAGTTGGCTGTTTCATACTATGAGGTGAATTTAAGACTAGAACAGTATAGATGCATGCTTGCTTTTCACACTAGCTAAAAGCAAGATGACTTTCTGTGAACATTAATTTGTGCTCAGTGTGTCAGAATTTAAACAGAACTTTTGCTATATTTTGCTTCAAGGTACTTAAAGAGAAAGGAAAAATTCAGTGTGTGGGTTGTAGCCTGGAAAGTAAACAGCTTTGGTATATATGAGCAACCTGCCCTGGGGCTGCACTTTGTGCCCTGGAATGTGGAAGCTGAGGATTTTGGGTGGGTTGGGGTAGGGGGAGCTATAAGTCAAAGAGGCTGTAGGCAATAATGTTTCTCCTGTGTTTCATGGGACTGGCATGACTTATGTTTTCAGAACATTTTCCTTACCCTGCTGGAAGACTGGGGGCTGTGCATGATCAATCAAGTTGAGAGCATCCTTTGAGAGTTTTTGGTGTATGGTTTTTGTTTTGTTTGTTTGGGTTTTTTGTTCCTTTTTTTATGCTAAGGTATATTTCTCATGAGGGTTAAGCAACACATTGGGTTCTTTCACTATATATTTTATCTTACAGGTAGGCAAAAAATCAAGTGATTTCTCTACTTCTCTTGAAATTCAGAGAACTATTAAGGCTGTAGCATTGTCACAGCCTTGCTTGGCATGTCACAAGGTATTTGCAGATAGAAATCATAGCAAAGCTGCAGTTTTAGCTTGATGAGGTGTTTATTGCTTTAAGTCCTGTTATGTAGGTTTAGCAGTGATAATCTTGTTAGTTTTTGTTGGAGTCTGAGTGACACTAAGTGCTTGATGACTTTTTGATGCTGGAGAGGCATTGAGAATGCTTAGTTGAGCGTTCTGTTGTTTTAGAGGTAGAAAAGATTACCTTCAGAATCAGAATTATTGAGTGTAATGCTGCTAGGCCTGAATGAATTCCTGCTATTTCTGTAGACTAAAGCAACAAATGTGAACTACTATCAAAAAAGGAAGTGAAGTACTCTAAAGATTACAGGAAAGAATAAGCTCTTTATGTCTCTGAATCTGGAAAACCTAAAAATGAAGTAGCCTGTATATCAAATTATGTATTTAATGGAAGAGCATGCTTCTGTGTCTGTTTATAAGTGTTGAAGTCTACTAAGTGTTAAGAGTTCATATTTTGAGCTACTAGAATGACTTGCTTGCTCTGACCACTCATAACATCCTTAATCATGGATTAGGCCCAAATGTAGTATGAGACTATTACATGACGTTGAATGGTGGAAAGGTGTTTCAAATTGTTTATCTGCATACCTCAATGACACCACCAGTAGTTACTGTGACTGGACTGCTGGACATCTTTTGTGTTCTGGTCTGATTCTTATGACTTACTGGGGGAAGTTACAATGAATAACCATCTCCCATTCGTTTTTACAAGGAGAATTTAATTTGGAATACTAAGGCGGCAGAATATATCTGCACTCAAAAAAACATACTTTTTTTTAAATTCAGTTGCTATGGACTTATTTAAGAAACATCCTGGGTAAATACAATGGGTATCTCCCATACATATCTGAGATACCTCTTTTGTACCTATTATCTGGTCTTCTTTCTTCCTCCACCCTAGAGAACAATAATTCTGTAAACAAGCGTAAATCTTAGCTTTGGTATATCATTGGAGAACGGGTGTGTGATTGTAAGTAGCTTTGTGTGTGTGCAAGAATTTTCAGGTGAAGCTCTATGAACTTTTGTAGACAAATAATGGAGTAGTTTGTTAAGTTTCTCTGCAATATACTGTATACTGCTGTTGAAACAAAGTTCTAATTGATTTTTTTCCCCCCCCATTTTAGTAATAGTTGAATCACTGAGAGGCCTACCTCCAGTAAATGAGGAAAGCATAATTTTTAAAGAAGATCGGCAAGCAGCAGGAAAGGTGTGTGTAAAGCATAAAAACCTGTTATTCTAATATAAAATTCAAAGTATTTGTTTATGTTCCAACAAGTAGCACTGAAGTCAACTAAATGAAAGGCTATGTTTCCTTGATATGTAATTTTCCTTTCTGCTTTTGATTCTTGCTGTAGTCATCTATTTTTTTAATCTCAAATTCCTAACTTGGAATTTGTTGCATCCTTACAGAATTAAAATGCGTGATGAGTTTCTGCTATTTTCTGAGAGTGCTTGTGGAGAGGGAGAGGTTGCTTTCAGGTATATGATGTCTTGAATAACAGGCTGTACTCTTTTATTGCCAGGAGTTGGGGGCAAAGATTGGAGAAATTAGAGTCAAGTTTCAGGAAAAGTGGGGAATGTTTACATGTCTAAGCTGTGCTGTTCCAGTTTAAGGCCAGTGTGTGCTTTATGCAAGTATAATGAAGAATGTTTGCTGAGAGGGGTGTTGCATTGAATTTTGTATGTTTTCTGGGGAAGGAAAACCATCATCTAGAGCAGTTGCTGCTATAATAGCTTTGAATGCTAGATGCGAGTGAAACAAAAAAACACAGCCTGAAATTGTAGCTGTTCAGTACAACATCTCAGAATTCTTTGCTCTCCATGGAACTGGGGAGCAGACAGGGGAACTGATATAAAGGTGTCTTGTAAAGATGAATTGTGAGGAATAAGTGATCAGGAGATTGTTCCAGGTGTAAGAAGTTTAAAAGCATAATGGAGAGAGAAGAACAGAGATCTGACATAAGGAAAGATTACTAAAGTAGAGGAAGCAGACAGTGAAAGCAGTGCAGTTGGGTGGGTGAAGGCAACATCGACATGTGAGAACTTGCTTTTCCACATTATGACTTAAACAGCAGCTGGGGAAATACTGTCAAACAACATGTGCTAATAAAACTAAAGCATGAAAGTAACTATTTCATGCTGCATTGTGAAGAATATATCAAACTTGAATACAAAGCATCTTAGGTTTATGGTTGTTTACAATGAAATTAGCTATCTACTCTTGATGGCTTATTTAAACATTTTAATTTTGTTTGTGTTTCAGATATTTGAGATATTTGGTCCTGTTTTACATCCCTTTTACGTGTTAAGATTTAACAGCTCTGAGCATATCAAAGCACAAGGTATTAATGTGCAAGATAGCATGTATTTTGCTCCATCAGTGGAGGACTTCACCCAGTATATATTTGCAGAGAAACTAAAACAGTGAGTCTGACTTCTTCTCAATCTGGTTATAATGTTGTTTTTTTTAACATTGCTAAAAATCCTGGATTAAAGTTTAACCTTGAGTGAGAAACTGTAGGACTAAGCTTGATACTAAAACTTTTCTTTTTTTTAGGTATTCTCAACTGTGTTGTAATAACAAGGTTTTGCCTTTCAGAACAGTACAGAGTAGCTGTAAACTACAAGCTTCTAAAGTGTTATAATTACTGAAGTTTAGTAGCTTCTTATTAAATTTAATATTAAGCTTGCTTTCTTCTCATGTTGCTGTGTTACCTAAAATGTCGTAACCAGAAAAAAATTCATTGATACTTCCCTTCCCCACACCCTTTCATATACATACACATGTATGGGTTTTGCAAGCTGAACTTTCTGGAGTTTGTTGTTCTGCAGATTCTTGTTTAATTTCATAACTTAATAATAAACTTCTTTGAATTTTGTACAAGTTTTACTTACTATTTTTATTTCATGTTACAAGGCCAGAACTGAAATTTAGTTATCAATAAATCTGTTCTGCAGTTGGAGAATAACAATTCCATATGAAAATTACCTGCTGTAAATTTGGGAGAGGGGAGGGATTTGAGTGGCAACGTAGTATGAAGTTCAGAGACTTCTCAATCGTATTTGTGTGTCCAAGTCTGCCTGAGGAAGGTAGCATGTATGAATAGGACTTGTTGCCATTTAAAAGGAAGTGTACTTAGATACAGAATAAGAAATAAAGCACAGTAAAGGACTGCTAGACATTAGTGTTCTAATTATTGATGAATAATTGTCTGAAATAACTACAGTTTTAAAATGTCCTTTGTCATATAAGTGACTTAGTCTCCATTTATTAGGATAAGTTCTTATCTGACTTGAAAATTTTTTCTAACTATAGCCAAAAATACTAGTGTCTGCATTACTTGCAACTCTGCCAGTATTCATACTGAATAATTTTTTTCTTTAGTCATACATGTGGCCAGGCCTGCAGGAGTGTGTTTTTTTTCTCCTTTCTTTCCCATTTCTGTGGAAGCAATAAGCATTTTTTTTCTTTCAGTGAAGACCAAAATAGATCACTTTCTCATTCTGCTGCTTGTTTGTTTTTCTGCAGTGTTTTGATGCCAGCTGGTCTTTGATTTGTGCCGTTAAACTTTGCTTAGCACAGTAACTGCACAGACTTTAATCATCTGCTTACTACATCAGTAACTGTGTGCCATACTCAGCATCTGAGACGTGAGACTCATGTTTTAGTTTGTTACGTGCTTTGCAACTAGTTTTGGGAACTATTTGTCTTTTGGTAGTACGTTACTATCATATATGGTACAAAATTCAACACTAGGTAAGATGTTTCACGCTGTCGTGACTTATCAGTGCAGCTGAACAGTGAGTGCATCAGACATTGTTTCTTGCCCTGTATTAAAATGAGCATTGTGAACACCTATTTAATCTCACATAAAACATAATTTCTGAATAATGTGATTTAAGTTATGTTTCACTGAAACAATGGTATTTCTGAGTTTTGTCAGTAAAGGTTCTTAAGCTTTTGTGAGGCAGTTGGTAATATTTGTTGAAGCTGCCTTTTTACAAAGTGGGTGTCATTGAAGAAAGGATAAGGAATTTTGTTTTCTGATCTGTGCTGTAATGTCTCTATAAAGAAACCAAGATGGTATGGATAGTAGAAAATTTGAGCTTTGGTCAGTGCTTCACAAGAAGACTTTTGGACCTTAGCAGATTGCAAATTTGATGACCAATGATTTTTATTTCCTGCTTTTTGTTAGTTTCATTGTGTGCAGACCAGCCTGTGGAGGATTATAAGCTTAAAGTTTTAAAACTGCTGCTCGAAACTGTGATGGTACTTTGGAAAGGAAAGGAATTGCGGTTAAGATCTAAAAGAAACCTTAAGTTTGAAGCTTCTGAAATCTGGCATGCAATCTGCTTGCATTGTACAAAGTTGCAGTGCTATCAATAAGCCTTACACTTTATAACAAAATACAAGGAAGTGTAGTATAAAACTTCTTGAATGCAAAGTAATTTGTTGCTAAAAATAGATTTATATTGTATTGCCTGAAACACAAAGTAATTCTGAAGCACGTGTATTTTCATGATTCCTCTGATTCACCTTTTGTTAGACTTCCAGATCTTACAGTATATGAGTTCAGAAATCAAAGAATTACTGTCTTGTTCTTTGCAGAAGATTATTAGGTATCTCAGAGCATGAAAAGTGTTTTGTGTTTTGCTGAAATGGGGAAGGCTGCTATGGGAGACTGAGATAAGCTGCCTGAAGAACTTACAAGGTTTAAATTTTGCAGTCAATAGTACTACATATTGCCTAATGACCACAGATCTTGGAGTTTCTGCTGTGCTCTGGTATTTCTGGCAGGCACGCATTGACCCAAAATAACAAGATGAGAAGCAAAAACAAAGAAGTTGGTTCATAAAAAATAAAAAACAAGTGTTACTTTTCATTTTTGCATAGGTAGAAAATTTTATGCAACTGAGAAGTTACTCATATAGAGCCTTATCTTCCTTTCCTCCCTGTAACATTTTCTTCTAATTGAACTTTAAAATGGCTTGCATACTAATATGATTTGTTTATAATCACAAAGGTGGTGTGTCTTTATGGTTTTCTAGTGATATGTAGAGATTGAGCTTCAGTTTTATGGTTAGGTGTTGAAGCATGAAGTACCTCCAGATGACTTGCCAGCTTTCTCATAGGCAGCTTTTGACTAAGGGTTTCTTAAGTCCAGGCTACCTACAGCTGGTGATTATGTACTTAATAGCTATTGCTGCTTGATTGTTGCTGACTTAGTGAATACATAAAAACCCCCTTGGTTATTAGAGCACTGATTGAAGAGTTTTCACACTGGACATGCTGGTGTTTTTAACTGTATGGTTCAATATTGCATTATTTTATATAGTTTGTCTGTATAGATAAGGATTGTTTCTTGACATTTCAGACCAAAATATTTTAAGTTTTTGATCAGTCTGGAAAAACCTTCCACAGACTTTAACAGCATAATTTAAATTTATTCCACAAATTTGTTGCTAATCAAAGAAATCACTTCATTTTTAGTGAAGTTCTTAAAGTGATGGGTAAAATAAATGATACCACTTCAAATTAATTTTGATGCTTGTCAGGCAAGATGATTGAGTTTTTGCTTCCTTAAATGTCTTTTACCTTGCTTTTTAATTTATATTTACAAGAAACTAAAAGATGAAACCTAATTATCTAGCTAGCACTATATTAATGCAATTGTATACCAAGCTTAGAGGTTTTTTTTGTTCTGAATTCACTTGGCTATAGCTACACTTAAGGCCTGTGTCCTACTAGACTGGTTCATTGTCCTTTTTAACTGGAGGTATACATTCTGAAATCAGAAGAATAAAGAAAGCTTATGACTATGGTCAGCAGTTAGTCACCATAAGAAAGTTGCAGTGAACCACCTCAATTCAGGTTCAAAGCAATTTAGGTTCAGAAGGATCTGTTGAGAGAGTGTTGATCAAAGCTTAATATTAGTTGTATGAAATGTTTGGTCTTCACTCAAAGTAGGAAGTTTTTTTCAAGTGATGTATGTAGTGAAGTTCTAAGATGACACATACATTACTACTAGAAACAACTTTAAAAAACAAATGCCTCTTTTAAAACAGGCAGCTCCTGGTGTATTGGATGTTAAAGTACAGTTCTTGCAAATTATTTCTAACCTAGAATATGTTGCTACTGTGTGACTCAAACGAGATGTTTCATACCTTCCTTACACTGTCTTCCTTCATCTTGATTGTCTAATATGTGTGTGTGTTGTTTTTCTTTTAGGGAAAAAGGTTCAGATGCATCATGGAAGAATGACCAAGAACCACCACCTGAAGTAACTATGGGGGTTTTAGTTTAACTGGTTTTAATTAATTTGTTTAATTGATTACACAAGTTTCTGTGCAGAGTAATTAGCAAGCTATATTTTTTTAATACAGGCAAGAGTTGGATGTACTACTTTTCTTCATTGAAAAGGAGGTCATGCTATTCTTGGAGAGGCCTCACAGTCGGTGTAGAGAGTACTAGCTGTCTTTTCTACTTGCTTTTTGCAGTGAGGAAGATGTGTATCTTTATCTTCAGTTCCTGTAGTCCTTCAAGAACATGTTTGGCAACCTGACCGTTCAAGTTTGAGTAGCAGTGCTTTTGCTTTGCCTAACAGTTTTACTTCTGCTAGGGAGTTTTTGTCCTTGCTGTTCTTTCACTGCAGCTTTGTCTTTTACCTTGCCACAAGCAATTGTTTGTCTTTAAAGGCCTGCTAGTACTCTGCAAACTCTACTACTTAGGTGTTTAAGCTGTCTGCTCTAATCTGTTAAATTAACTTGATGCCGCCTCTGTTGCATTCTTTGAATGGTTTCTTAGTAAGATTTCCCTACTGTTTGCTACTATAAAACACTAGTTCCATGAGAGGAGATGAGATTCTTCCATAACAAGGCAGTCATACAGGATCATGTAGAAGTGGGAGCTCCTCATGACCATTGATATAATTTACGCTAGGATCTGTAAAGATTTCTTCAGTGACATCCAGGCTTCCTGTCTAGTGCTCCTTAACTCCACTCTAACTATGCTTTTCATGATTATTCTCTTCCATAAGAATTGCAAGGCAGATAGTTTTATTGAGACTTGTTTTCTAGCTCAACACTTGAGTCACTTTTCCTTGCAATTTCTACTTGTAAGTCTATCTAATCCAAAATAGCTGAAATTCCTAGAAGCCTTGTTTCTACCATAGTATGCTAAAGATATCTATCTCCTTGTTCTGAATCTTTCGAAAGCTTGCATATTTCAAAGCTATGTAGTATGTGCTTCTTACTCTATAATTAAGTGGGAAAGGTGTTTTTTTGTGGTGTAGTTTTTTTTTCTTTAGTGTTCTAACCAATTTTTAGAATAGGCTAGACTTTGAGGTGGAAGGAACCTACAACAGTCATCTAGTTCAACTGTCTGACCAATTCAGGGCTGACCAAAAGATAAAGCATGTTATTAAGGGCATTGTCCAAATGCCTCTTAAACAGTGATGGGCTTGGAGCATTGACCAGACCACCTCTTAAGGAAGCCTGTTCCAGTGTTTGACCACCCTCTTGGTAAAGAAAGGCTTCCTAATGTCTGGTCTAAACCTCCCCGGTGCAGCTTTGAACCATTCCCATACATCGTATCACTAGATACCAGGAAGAAGAGATTGGCATCGCCCTCTCCACTTCCCCTCCTCAGGAAGCTGTATGGAGCAATGAGGTCACCCCTCAACCTTCTTTTGTCCAAACTAGACACACCTGAAGTGCTGAGCTGCTCCTCATAGGATGGACAGCCCTTTACCTTTCACCAGCTTGTTGCCGCCCTCTGGATACATCCAAGGACCTTCACATCCTTCTTAAACTGTGGGGCTCAGAACTGCACACAGTACTTGAGGTGAGGCTGCACCAATGCTGAATACAGTAGGATAGTTGCCTCTCTTGATTGACTATAGTGTGTTTGATGCAGTTTGCCCTCTTGGCTGCCTGGGCACACTGACTTATACTGAGCTTGCTGTCAACCAGCAGCCCCAGATCCCTTTCTGCAGGGCTGCTCTTCAGCTACTCCTCTCCCAATTTATACTTGTGTCTGGTGTTACTCCATCCTGGGTGCAGGATCGTAGAATGGTTTGGGTTTGAAGGGACCTTTAAAGATCACCTGGTTCCAATCCCCCTGCCGTGGGCTGGGACACTTGCTGCTAGAGCAGGTTGCACAAAGCCCCATCCAACCTGGCCTTAAACACTTCCAGGGATGGGGCATCCACAGCTTCTCTGGGCAACCTGTTCCAGTGCCTCACCACCCTCATGGTGAAGAATATCTCCCTTATATCTAATCTAAATCTACCCTCTGAGTTTAAAGCCATTACCTCTTGTCCTGTCACTACATGCCCTTGTAAAAAGTCCTTCTCCAGCTTTCTTGTAGGCTCCCTTCAGGTACTCGAAGGCTGCTGTAAGGTCTCCTCAGAACCTTCTCTAAGCTGAAGGACCCCAACTCTCTGCCTGTCTTCATAGGAGAGGTGCTCAAGCCCTCTGATCTTCTTTGGGACCCCCCCGCCCCGGACTTGCTCCAGCAGGTCCATGCCCTTATGTTGGGGGCTCCAGAGTAATGGTGCATTCAACTCCTACATCCAGGTCATTGATAAATAGATTGAACAGAATCAGCCCTAGAATTGAACTCTGAGGAACACTGCTGGTAACCAGTTGCCAGCCCATTTGCGACAACCCTTTGAGGTCTGCCCTTCAGCCAGTTCTTCATCCACCAGCGTACCAGGAACCCACTCATCCCACAGTTGGACAATGTGTCCAGAAGGACGCTGTGAGGAACAGTATCAATTTTTGCATTTGCAGTCCTTATCACAGTCTAGTTCTTGCTTGAAGGAGAGATGTTGTGACACAGGCTTTTCTGTGCTTAAAAGATAGGTCCTGCAATGATGTAGCAGTCTGTCAACTCAGAGTATTGCTTTTTCCACGATGGTGTGGATGATGCATTTTGAAACACCTTTATTTTTCTTCCCACAAATGGGACTGAACTGAGCAGTGTTAACTTCTCTCAAAGAATGCTTGTCTGTCAGTTCTGACTGCAAATTGCCTTTCTTGGGGAGACATCTCACAGGGAATCATCATTTGAGAATTAGAAGTGCTACATAGAATTGGAGTGTAGGTATGTGATCAATAGGGCTTTGAAAGACCATGTATACGTAGAAACTATTGGCTGTTCTTAGCTTTCTTTTGTCAAACAATTTTCTAGTGATGATGATACAAAATGTACTTATTGGCTAATGGTGGGCTTTTTGTTTGTTTCTTAGTCATTTTTTTAAAGCTCTTCAGGAGATAAGCTTGTAAATATGTAATTTGAACTTGTAGGAACCTAAGTAACTTTAAAACTTGGCTAAATATAGTCAAGCAGTCAGCTCTTCTGCATATACAGATTCATTGCTTTTTCCAAAGTTGGTATTTATTTTATTATGATTTTTCTTAATTATGATACTGTTACCTGCAAGTTAGAATCTGAAAGTACAAGGGGAACTTGAGGTTTACGATAATTCACTATAGGAGGGAAGGAAGCTTGAACAAAATCAGTGATGGCAAGGATGGGCAACCTTTTTATTAATTTTTATGACACCTTTGTTTCCGTGGCTGTTCTGACTTTGTGGTATGTCTATGTGCTCTGTTTTGGAGAAAACACCACATCTAACATCTTGTAATTCTTAATTAGAATAATCTTTGGATAGCTCTAGCAGTTAGAGTTTACACTAAGATACCTGAACTGTGATAGCTGATGAACTGATAGAAAGTAGCTTTTGCTGTGAAGGTAATAGCTGTTGACAAGGGTGCAGATTAAATTTTATGCTACTGATGCTTGAAATTGTCTCTTAGAGCCAGACTCTTTTAGAGCCCTCCGCTGGCAACTGATTCTATAACTTTTCTGGCCAGCTCCCATGGTAAACTGCATGCAGTTGCTGTAGTCAGTTCTTTTTTGTGATAATGTGAAGCTTTATTTTTTATCAACATTAAATTAATCCATGTTAGGCCTTTTGTGCTTGCTACTTTAAGGTATATGGTAAGTGTTCCTTTTCTGGTAGGCTTGTAATTAGTCCAAGTTAACTGTAGACTCAGTAATACAATCTCTCTGGGCCGTGTCTTTGGGGTCATAGGATGATGAAGTGTGATCTGTATGCTGCAAGGCTAGCAGGAGCAGATAACTGTGATTTGTCTGAGAGGCAGCTTTTATGGAATGTTACATGGAAATTAGCTAGCTACAGAAGGTACCTGTTTGTTATTTCTGCTCTACTGGAGGATGGTATATTGAAGTCCTTAGAAAAAAGCAGGGTTAGTGAAAGATTTGATTTCATGGTATATATCATCTTGTATTTCTTATGACTCTCTTTTGAGCAAGAATGTAATCCAGTTATGTAGAAGAGGAAATAGTTGTATTCAGTATTAACTTTTACATGGCTTTTTTAGCACTGTTTTAGTGCAGTGTTTTTGAGACCTGTGCTCTCTATATACTATAGAGATACATCAGTAAGCAGCAAATCCCTTCCTTTCAGAATTGGGAGGGTAGGAACAAACCCTACCCTTTTAAGTTACATGAGTGAGCTGTTTTTCAGGGAACAGATTTTTTTCCTGTCACTAATAACTTTTCCTTATTCTAAATGTAAGCTAGGATTCAAAATGTAGCAAAACCTTGTGTAACAGAACAAAATGTTGCAGTGACATTGAATCTATTGTAAATGACATTCTCCAAAGCTGAAAATTCCTTTGGAATAACATTGCTATTGCAAGTTTAACTGGAATAGTGTTTTTAAATATATTATAGAAAATTCTGATCTAGTGACAATTTCAGACTAGAGATACTTTTTAATGTAGTTTAACTGTGCTAAGTTAAATATTGGTTGCCAAATTAATTTTAACTTATTTTAAAAATCCATATTTTAATTCACCTAGTCTGCAGTTTGCCCTTTGAAAGCTTTTTCTTGCAATCTTGCAAGCCAGCTCCTTCAGATTCCCAGTTTTTTTCTTACTAACATCTAGACAATCATAAATTTGTGTTCAGTACTTGAATGTTGCTGTTCTAGGAAAATTAGAAGGAATAACTGAGTATTGTGTAATTTGTGGAGTGTCAAGTTTTTTTATTGTGTTGAGAAGCCATCTGAACACACGATGGCTCTTTGAATGCAAAATAGGAAAGTGCAGCTTTAATATTCTTTGAAGCTGACTACAGGATGGATTGTTTTCTAAATAGTCATTTACTGCTAGAACTGAAGTTCTCTGTGCAGTCTTTTTATGGCTTTTTTTTTTTTAATTAAACCAGGCCTTGGATTTCAGCGATGATGAAAAAGAGAGAGAGGCAAAACAGAAGAAAAAGAAGCCTCAAAGTCAAGGAAGGAAGAAACTCAAATCGGAAACAAATGCATCAAGTGAGTGAATGCTATGGGAGAATGCTTTTATCTATTAAACTGAGTTTGAAATACTCAATGATATCTATCTTAATGATATATAGAGGATCTTGGGCAAGTTCAAGGAATGGGCCTGAGTGAACCTCATGAGGTTCAACAAGGCCAAATGCTGGGTCCTGCACCTGGATCAGGGCAACCCCTGATATCAACACAGGCTGGGGGGTGAAGGGATTGAGAGCAGCCCTGCCGAGAAGGACTTGGGGGTACTAGTGGATAAAAAGCTGGACATGAGCTGGCAATGGGCACTCGCAGCCCAAAAGGCTAACCATAGCCTGGGCTGCATCAAAAGAAGCGTGTCCAGCAGGTTGAGGGAGGTGATTCTGCCCCTCTACTCCGCTCTGGTGAGACCCCACCTGGAGTCCTGTGTCCAGCTCTGGAGCCCTCAGCACAAGAAAGACAAGGACCTGTTGGAGCAGGTCCAGAGCAGGGCCACAAAAATGATCAGAGGGCTGGAACAACTCTGCTCTAAGGACAGGCTGAGACAGTTGTGGTTGTTCAGCCTGGAGAAGAGAAGACTGCAGGGAGACCTTATTGCATCCTTCCAGTACTTAAAGGAGGCTTCTACGAAAGATGGGGACAGACTTTTTAGCAGGGCCTGTAGCGATACAACAAAGGGCAATGGTTTTAGACTAAAAGAGGGCAGATTTTGACTAGATACAAGGAAGAAATTTTTCATAACAAGGGTGGTGAAACACTGGCACAGGTTGCCCAGAGAGGTGGTAGATGCCCCAACCCTGGCAACATCCAAGGTCAGGTTGGACGGGTCTCTGAGCAACCTGATGTAGTTGAAGATGTCCCTGCTTATTGCAGTGGGGTTGGACTAGATGACCTTAATGGTCTGTTCCAACCCAAACTATTCTATGGTTCTATGATTGAGCTTTCATGCAGTTAATAAGTATTTCTGTGCTTTTCAAAGTTGTATTTGTGAATTTGTGTCTACATGCCTTAATTTTTTTTAAAAGGAAAATGAAGGGTTTTTTTTCCATTAAACTGTGGAAGAGAGGTATTATTGGCGCAGGACAGTTGTCAGAAGGGATTCAAAGGCTCTTACAACAGCATCAGCCGACACACAGTGAGTGTATAGAATAGATGCCACCTTTTGGAGTTTAGATCTTGCTTCTTGCAGGGGTTATTGGGGCCCAAGTTCAGCTTAAGCCTTTGAGTGCAGGGAGAAGATAGAGGAAGGCCATGTGCAATTTGTGGGAACCCTTTTTTTGAAAATCAGGGAGAAGGCACATGTCTTAGATGAGGAATTTATTCCTCTATCTGAAAAGGAAGCTCTTCCTCACCCATGGCATCGAAATACTCCTTTAAAATAACTCTTACTTGTGTAGCCCACTGAGAACCTCTCTGTTTACCTAACATGGTCATTACATAAACCTATAGTAATTCAATAAACTATATATAGTTTTTCATAATATATGTAGCCTTCTTCACCTTCCTTTCTCCTGCTGTTGACAAGATCTGTCCAGGTGTATGCTTGTAGCTCTGCTCTGTGCTCTGTTTGCAATAACCAGATTTTCCTATCTGTCTTGTCTTACGCCTCTTTACTGACAAAACTGTCTACTTTTTGGTTGCCATTCTGGTTGAGTAATTTAAATGGGATCTCTTTTTTTCACCCCTCTTTTTTCCCCTGTTCTCACTGGTCTGCTTTTGTTGTATGCCTTTTGTACCACTCCTTGTAAATACTACTGTCTCTCATCGCCTCCCCTCTTTACTGCTTACATATCGGGTTGCTTCATCTGTCTGCAGCACAGTGCTTCCCCCCATTGATTTTCTTGGATTGACTCCTTCTGTGAGTTTGCTCTTTCTTTGTAAAGCTGCTACACATTGCACCCCACTGAACCCCTTTTATCTTGAGCTGGGAAGTCAATAACTGCCCTGTTAACCGTTTTACTCTCTATACGGTACATGTCTCCCTTGTACCCTTTAGTAAAGCTGCGATCTTTCTTGGACTGGCTTTTGCTGTATGGTTTTGACAGTTCTTCTGTAAGGAAGGATCTGAATTGTGCCACAATTTCCCTTCATTGCCGATAGTTATTTTCTCTTCTGATTTCTGCTTATCTAGCATACGGCATATATCACCCCATATCCTTATTCTGCCATGCTTATTGCAGCCCTGCCTTTGCCTAGGGATTGCTGAGGCTGCTACTGAACTATGTTCCATAACTGAGAACACAATAGGAGGAACTGTCTCAATCTGTCAAGGGAGTATGGGTTATGATTTGCTGTGTTTTTCTGTAAATAACATGGTATAAATTGACATTGTGTGCAATTTAGTTTGGCTGTGGAATTCAGCAACAAGGATATGTGGCAAATTGAGGCGCAAACTCTGTCTCAGCTGGAGTTTTGCTTGATTGCATATTAAGTATATTAAAATTGGCTTGTTGTTACAGTCTTTGGTAGAAGAGAGAACAAAAATATTCATTCAAGTATTTTCACTTCAGTGCTTCTGAGAGGACTGCATGCACCAAAGGAATCTGAATTCTAATCCCCCATGAAAATGAGTAGGAATTTTGATATTCAACTACTTTTCCAGACTTAGCTTTTCAAAGATGAAAATGTTTCTCTGTAGTCTAGTGCCAAGGATTAGGTCTACATGGGTTCTTAAAATTCAGTGATTCTATGCGGTGTTATGTCCCTAAATACGTTTTTGCTTCTAGCCCTAAAATCCTTTAGAGATCATGTTTAGGTTTAGATTCTACAGCCTTTTGAACATCTTAGCAGCTCTTTGGAACATTTTTAATAATTCTGTGCTTTTAATTATATAGCACTTACTCCATTAATACTCTTACAGTATTATGTACAGTGGCAGTACATTTATTATGAAGCTTAAATATATGCTTACAGTGACCTGTACAGGGAAAAATCCATCTTTGAAAGATGAATGCTGAAAGCTAATTGGTTAAAGGTAACAGGGGCCTTTTTTTCTGGTGGAGTAAGTTAATTTTATTTATTAGTATTGAATAATTTCTTGTGTCCTGTGTCTGTGCTGTAATATCAACTCAGGTTTGAAGGCTGTATACTGCTTTAGTGTAATGCAGTGTTGATTTAACTTTGGTTTTAAAATGTGTTGCTTTTAAATCTTGTTTTAAACCAAAGCTTCCAAAATACTCTGTCTGATTGTTCCTGTGATTCATTAATACAAATGAAAATACCTGGAGGGGAAGAAAGTGAAATTTATTTTTTTAATGACTGAATTTGCAACCCTCTGGATCTTTCTTTCTATATTACTCTAATAAATCAAGATGAGTCACTAAACAGTAGACTTGCCAGTGGTTTTTTTTTGTTAATGTATTATTTGCCAGTATTATTTGTGGCTAAGCTCACTTTTCAAGTTTCCTTGACTTCAGGTTGAAAGATCTGTGAGGATTGAACTTAATCTTTCCAAAATAATAAAAATGTGTGGTGGGTTTTTTGTTGTTTTGTTTTTTTTTTAAGGTGAGAATAAAGGACTTCATCAATCAATGCAACAGCCTGCTTCAAGTTATTCGAGGGGATACCGTGGCAGAGGCTTCTCCAGGGATCCATTTCCTCCTCCATCAGGCCCTCCAGGTTTTTTGAGACCACAAGCAAGACCATCACAGCTATACTCTTCAGACAACAGGATACATCAGGAATCTCCAGTGTTCCCACAGCCTCATAGAAAAGAAAACCCAATGATGCAACAGTATCCCTTTCCTCCTCCAGTTTTTGATTCTGTTAATGAGATGCATCAATTTCACCTTCCACCTTCAAATCTGAATATGATTTGGACAGGCCCAAACATGTACAACTCATCATATCCATTTTTGCCGCCACCTCCACCTCCTCCAGATAGCCATCCTTCTCAGTTCAGGCCTTACTAAGTTTCCATAAATATGCATACGAAGTGTTGCAGTTTAAAGGGAGGAAGAGCAGGCTGTCAAGATGGTATTCCCTTATTTTGGAGATGCTTCGTTTTTCTGCAACAATAGAATGAATGCAGAATTTGATGCCTTGTGAGACATCTGTAGAAAACTGTTTTTTCTATATATGTTGTCTTTTTCAAAAAAAAAAACAAAAACCCTGTATGGTAAAAATAACCAAATACTAAATAATGGTTTATTTTTATAATATCTACTAGTTTGGGATGATAAATATAAACCTTTCGGAGATTGTAATGTAGTGGTGGAAATCTATTCTGTAATAAACTTGAGATTATGTAACTAATGTCTGATAGTGATGAGGATATGTCAAAGATGGTATTTTAAGATTTTTAGCATGGTTGTATATTGCTATGCTAAACACTTTTCTCAATTTCTGTAAATTTTGAGATCTACTCGCATGGAAACTAAAAACCTGACACCTAATTTTTAAGCTAGGTTTGCAACTGTTTATATAAGGTGTTATCCAACTTATATGTAACAGGAGTTACGTAATTCCTGTTATCCAACTTTTAATATGTCATATTAACTAAAAGACTGGAGCTGGGTAGTCTGTTTTTAAATAGCTGGAGTACCTAGATCAGAAGTTGGACCAGCAGCTGAATTACTGTCAGATACAGTGTCCTACAATAGCTATAGAAGATCAATTTATGTTTTGCAATTAATTTTAGGAAGTAAAACTGCATGGTATGGGGAAATTAAAAGCCAGCACAACTTCTCTAGCTTGTCTTTGCTCCTAGTGCAGAAATGCACATAGATACATACAGTAGGTAGTCAGCCTTTCTAGGAAGAAGTCACCAGACCTGTCAGGGAGAGAAAGTATACCATTTCAGAACTCCTGTTTAAATTTGTATGCAAAATGCAGACAGTACTCGATTGCTGTTTGATTGTCTTTACAGTCAAAGCTCTTCTGAAATTAAAAGGTTCATCAACTCTCCCAGCTTATTTCTAGGAGGGGGGTGGTCTTTATCAACCAAAGACAGCCTGGAACAACCTCCACCTGCCCAAAGGGTCAGTCCTACAATTGCACCTAATTACTCTCCATGGAAGTGGCTCTGACTAACTAGAAGGGAAATCCTTACACTGCATGAGATTTTTAGAAAGAAAGAGGAGGAAAAATAGTAGTGGGACAGAAACATCTTAAAGATGACTTTTCCACTGAAAAATCATCTGTAGTTGTAATGATTTTTGAATCGTTAATCAACAATGCAATCACTCTGAACCATTGAACAGAACTGATAGAAATATGCAGTATGTATTTCTATTCTCAGACTTGTATTGGCCTCATTACTTTGGATATGTATTTACAGGCTAATTAAGTACTGCAGGTGTTGCTTAGACTTGTACTCTAATTCCAGATAACTTAAGAATGAAGTGAAAATTTAATGCACAGAGGGAGGAACAGTCTTGTCAAGATGCTGTTCATGTGAATTAGAATTTAATTTCAGACTTCTAAAGTTTCATTTAATATACTTAAGTAATAATCCTATTCTCTAATATATCTAGAACTGTTTCACAGTTTGCAACTGAGAAGGTTGTATATATCTCAGATTTTGTCAAACAGGTACTGTACAGTGGCAACAGACTGTTTCAGAACAATAGCATTCCAGACAATGTTTAACTCTGTTCTTAACAGATTTTTTTGATAGTAAACCAAACGTCCATTTCTAGTTTGTTGCAAATGCTTACATTTTGGGGGAAAGGAGAGGGGAGGGAATTTTTGACTAAGCTGTAGCCCAGCTATTACCATTGCTAGTGGTAAGTTGCAGGTGTGAGTAAACTCAATAGGGCCTCATGTCTGAGCTTCCTTTGACTCACCTGGACCTTTCTTTTTACTTTGTTCATCTGTAACAAATTTGTTAACACATTAATATGTTAATACCCATACATTTTTGGGTATGATTAATTTGGTTTACATGTACTTCTTTCCTATAGTATACACAGGTTTTTACATAGATGGCAGCAGCAAGTAGTTATACTGTGTAGAATGGGGTGTTCATGGGTTTCGTGGAATAAGATAGTGTAGAGGAAGAGAGACCTGACGTGATGACAGAAGCCTCAAGTGGCAGTGCAGGATGCAGTGTAGAGGAGTCCCTGGGATATCAAGACATGGGGCACAGGCTGGCACTGGAAACCTGGGTTGCAAACTGTTCCTCAGTGGTCAGTTGAAGAAAATACAATCCTGGCTTTAAACAATACCTGTTTTGAGTATAACCAAGAGAAAAAGTATGTAGCATATGTAAAATGTACCATATACAGTAAAACTGGATGTAATTGTGAATATGCAGACAGATGAAGAGCGAGCAAGATGTTACAAGTGTGTTACCAAAAATAAAAGTGATCCCAAGTTGATTATAGATGTAGGAGGAAGAAACTCTCAACATCATACTGGGACCTGGGTTGCTGATGACTTGCTGTGTGTCCCTGGCACAAAGGAGTGCTATCAGCCTCAAGATCCAGAGGGGCAGTTGAAAGGTAAGTGTAACACCAGGAAACGGAGTGAAGTAGCAGGAAGTGTATGTCCAACAACTTTAACTACTAATACTATTGAGACCTTTTATGTATAGTAATGTACACTTTTCTGCATAATTAGATCTGGACTAATAATTCTTTGATTAGGCTGTTAAGATTTCAGGTATGCTAAGGTGTATCCTCTTTTCCCATAACATTGTGTTTGTAAGAAAAAAAAAAACCAATATCAAATTAGATTACAGAATGTAGTTTGAACAATTAATGCTTGGTAGTTAACCGCAATACTGATTTTGTGTACTTGCTTGGTTTTTATGTTGAAACAAGTTTTGCAGGTGTTCCGCATTTAGTACAGATGACACTTGCACAACTTTGCTTGGAATCTGGTTTAGTTCTTCATGATATGATTATTTGAGGTGTGATTACCCAAAATAGTGTTGCACACAATGTCACACTGAAGAATAAGCATTGCGATAGATTGCTAGACTAGTACCATTTTAATTTGAAAGTAGAGCTACTGTAACCCCTTTTTTTCTTTTAGAAAAAAATCTTGAATGCAGTCATCGTTAAGTTTCCTTGTATAGCTGTAGTCAGTAGGGGTGTACAGATACTGTCAGACCTTGGTTCAGTGTGTTGGATGCTTGCTATTGAGAAAGCAGTATAAACTTGCAGTAATTTGGGGAGATTGGAACCTGAGGTGTGTTTGCAAGTTCAGCTGTCTGTGGAAGGAAAAAAAAAAACTAAGTACGTGACAGAAAAATGAATGTCATGGAAGTAGTTCTTTTGTATCTCTAACTCTGAAGAATATCGCTGTCTTTGTCCATAGGCCTTTAAAGCCTTGACTGTAATGCTTGGGAAAACTGGCCTGACAATTTGAGTGGCAAGAACTTTGGCCTCAGCTATTTTTATGTCAGACTGTTTTACAGACATCTGTGTTACTGGACTACATTAAACATGTTACTACATTAAAGTGTTAGAGCAATATGCTATAGCAGGATTACAGTAGCTCCTCTGCTGAACTGCACTCTTGGGTCTCGGACAAAATGTTCAGCCATAGACACACCAAGGACAGATCCTTGGCAAATGAAGCACTTGAAGCCACCTTCCTTTTTCTCTGCGCTGGAAATTGAACAGTAACACACACCAGCTCAATTCCTGATCAGCGCTACTTAGGAGCGGGCTGAGCTTTTTAATCTGAAATAATTTGGTGTGTAATGCACTCTCTCTAGAGGTACTCCAAATTAAAAAAGCCATCCACCCAGAAAATAGAAGCTATTAAATGTGAATCGTGCAAATATCAGGTCCTCAGCACCAACACTCTACAGATCTGCTCTAGCTGGTCCATGCTACTTGCTAACGTAGATGTAATTTTAATGTTCAGCATGTGCTGCAATAAACCTTATTTTTTGTAGATACTACTTAGGCATTACTGTAGTTAATGTTTCTGAGAGAGGCACACAAAGACAGAAGGGCTTAAAAATCTGTTCTTTCTGGCTATCAATAGCATTCAATTCTGATGCCATTTGAAAATACCAGCAAACACCTACTTGCGAGGAATTTCACTATGACCTATGTCTTGGCAGTTGGCAGGTTGCTGGATTAGTACACTGATATCAGAACAGGTGATAAAACCAGTATTTAATTGCACAAAGTCATTGGAGTATATCTGCTATGTTGTCTTTAAAAACAAACAAAACCATCCCATTACCCCCTCTTCCTCCTTCTCCAAAAAAACCACAGAGAGAAATACCTCATCCCCCCATCCCCCTGCTCCTTGCTAAATTTGTGAAGCAGATTTGTGCAATGATGTCTTGAACTGTGAGGGAAGAGCAGGTGGATCCCAGCTTCTACAACCCTTACTGAATGCACTTCATGTTAGTCCTTGTGTTTCAAAAAAAATGAAACAGCAAAAAAAAAAAAACCACACCCTCCCCAAACAAACCACCCCCCCCCCCCCCTTTTTCACAAATTTTTGCATCCCGACCACAATCCCCCCCCCAAACAAACCAGCCCCCCCCCCCCTTAATTCCAGAATTTGTGCATACGTACAGATATCATTTTGTAATTCTGCTGGGTAGTCGCCCTGTTTTGAAAAGAAGTTGTTTGAAATTCCACTGTAGAGTTCATCTAAGATGAATCAGACTGGAGAAAAAATACCATTATGCCTTATCTTCCCTGTGGAGTAACTTCACCTGTGAATTCATTTATATTCCTTCAGCTAACCGACCTCATCCACTACTTATGACTGAAATACTGTTTTTTTCCAAATGTATTTGGTGTAGGAATACTGCAATGGCATGTTTATACAGTATTTAACTTTCTCTCATACTTTAACTGAATTGTTAGAATTTAGATTTACTAAATTGTTGGGAGGTTAGAACTTTACAATAGTTTGCTTGGGGGAAAAACAGAAGCTTAGAGGGAAAATTGGCTATAATTTCTCAAAAGGCTGAGGTTTATAAATAGGAGTATGG